GCTTCCCTTGCCTCTCCTTCACTATAAAGTTTGCAGTCCAGCTGTTGCTTTGGGACTGCAACACAGAACTCTGTGTATCATTTGGCTCTTCTGGAGTAACTGTCACATATTTACGGTTTATAACTTATCATGTGCTAACCACATCTCCGCCTCGTGTCCATGTGTTTCAGCATCTGCAGCCGCTTCCAGAAAACAGCAGGCTGCCCTACTAAGTCGCTCCATCCGCCGTGTCACCGGCTTTTCCGACATATGTTCATCTGTAAACATGGAAAATTGCCGGTGTAATCTGATTTAGAGTTGTTTACTTTTGATTCAGTCGTGCCGTGCAAGCCCGGCTGCCCGGCTGTGAATGAGGCATTGTCTGCAGACAATCTCCAATCTCTGCTGCAAGTCCACCACATGCAGGTACTGCAGCTATCAGACACCCCTTCAGCTAATACCGACACATTGAGCCTGTAGGGAACATGTGCCAGGTAGGGATGCAAGTTATCAATTAATGTGTAAATCTAATTGACTAGCGATTAGTTGATAAGCAATCATTTTTCTTAAATCCTGACTTTTCTCTTGTATGAAGAGGGCCAACTTATTTTTCATAACCTAAATTCTGAATTTAAAAACTGCAAATACACAAAATCTTACCAAACATTTTTATCTAGTTTCTTGTACATTTAAAATAAGACAAAACTAACTTATAAGTAACTTTTCACAAAGATACATGAGCTTGTTTTAAGTTAATAATTCACTAATATTGATGAAAGTATACTAGTTCCACTGGCAGATTATTTAACTTATAATTGACTTACAATGGGATAAATGTCTTGTTATAAGTGAAATAATCTGCCAACCAATACTTTTTCATTAATATTAAGGAATTACTAACATAACAAACTCCTACACCTTACTGAAAAGTTACTTGTAAGTTTGTTTTCTCTCACTTCAAATCTACAAAAAAAGGACTAAAAACTGAGTAATATCTAGTTTTTGAAGTAAAAAAACAAACATTTTTACATTTTGTGTCAGCTGCATTATAAATACTGACTGAATAAACAGGAAAACTGCAGCTTTCTCACATTGAGCTAATTAAGTATAACAAATAAGTAACCTTTTGGGTTGTTTTATAGTCAAATAAAAGATGAAAAGAATAAAATATGTCGAACACAAATTCCACATTAACAGACAAATGTTCATAGAGAAGTAGTCTGCTGTTACTCTTTAAGGAATGTTGAAACTTCACTCCATTAAAAGCATTAACTCACAACAGACCTTAAAGTCTCCCGTGCTCACCGGCGCCATGTTTTTCTCCCATCATGTTATAAATTTGCCAGGTGTCCCCTCGACTTCATTGCACATCAGTAATTTTTGAATGAGAAGCTGAAGCCGCTATTAAGGTGATAACTTAAGGAGCTCACTGAAGATTTATATTCAAAAACAGAACCTAATAAAGTGTATTTTCAACAAGCACTGGACTCCGGACCGTTTCTGTCTCTGCGCTGTCGAGTAGCATACGTGCAGTGAATAGTGCGCATGCGCATTTACAAGTCCGCGACATTTAGAGATGCTGTCAGTTCAGCGTCGCGTAAAGATACGACAAAAATAAGTCAATAAATTGTTTTAAATGATAACTAGATGAGTGTACATACCTTGTCGTGCAGGGTCTAGCTGCAGTGGCTGTGAAAAACATAACACGCCCCGTATAAAACTCGCCTCCCTGCTCCTTGGTGTTATTAAAAATAAAGTGTATGAAAATCTGACTTCTACGTCATGATGTCATGTGACTGATTAAATAAAAGCATGTAGTAATGACAGTGTATATTTGTCTGACAAATTTAGCCCTCAGTTTGCGCTTCACGAATGATGATCTGGCAGAACAACGGCCGCTATCTTTGTTCTGTATCAAACGGCTCCAAGTCAGCATTACCAGTGGCGCCCCCTGCTGGATGGCGGCCAAATTACAACAGCAAGAGAAAGAAAGCTGACGTTTAATTAAAAGATTAGAACACATCTTAATAAAAATAAACCATTAGTGGACAATTAATAATAAGTAGATTAAATGTTTCCTTCCGTAGTGCCAGGCATTTGATTTTCCTCTCATCAGGAGGGCAGTTTCAGCTTTGACCCATGCCACAGAGGTTAGTCGCTCTCAAAGCAACAGTTTGATAGTGGCACCATGAAACGGTTGGACTGGAGAGTTCCAGTCTGCTCTGTGTTTCATAGTAAAGCTGCCTGATGTGAAGCAGCATGTCTGCAGCCTTCGCAGGGCTGGACTCTGTTCTTTCACCCGGGAAGCTGATGGATGGTGTTTGTTTAGTTACGCTGCAGTTAAGCTCAGGTCAGGGCCAAGCCAGGGCCCCCTCTCCCTCCCTCCGTCCATGTTGACTTTGGGCTCTGCTTAGAATTTTTATTTGTTGTTTATTTATTTTTTTTAAACTCTTGAACTTTTTCCGTCCCTGGCTGCTCAGGGGGGGAGAAAGCACAAGCGAAACTTTCTTCACACTGACAGGAAACCCGTCAGCAAAGCTGCTTAATGACGAGGACGTTTGCAACTTGCTTTTAAAAACATTTAGAACATTTGTGAGTCAGACCCCTTACCTCTCACACAGTCAGTCAGCAACATGGCCTCAAAGATGAGCAGCACAATCTTCATGACGTCCATACTGTCCAAACACAGATTCATAGTCCCTAAACCAGGAAAAAACACACGAGCAGCTCTGAGATTAATAATCTTGGTGAAGGATTAAAAAAGCACTATTGGCTCTTATGCAATGATTACACTGAAAGAAACAAACTCTTACTGAGTACTTTTGTCTACTTTAGTGAAAATACCTTAGCACACGTAAAATAAGACAAAACTATTTTAGCATGATAAGTTTGTTTTAATTTTCTAATGTTGATTCAAAAAGTATATCTCTTCTTGCAGATTATCACACTTATAATCAGATATTTTTTACATGTCATAAGTGAAATTATCTGCCAATGGAACAAGCACTTTTTCATAAATATTAGAGAATAACTGAGCTCCTATGAATTGCTAAAAAGTTATTTGTAACTTAGTTTTGTCGTAAGTCAAGTGTAACAACATATTTGCACTAAATAAGGCCAGAAATACTTGGTAAGATTTTGCTTTTTATCAGTATATTCTATTTATTAAAAATAATGACGATTCTACCAGCACGTATAAACATGTTCATTCCACTAATATTCATTCTTTGATTGTTTTGTGTCTTTAACTGACATCATGATTACAAAACAGCACAAATGAACCAGAATTTCATTTTAAAATAACATTAAAGTACTGCATAAATATTTCAGGTGTATCCTGCAACATTATGGGGTTTTTCATGTATTTACATTTCTGTGGCAATATTACATACCTCGTTAGTGAGTGTAGGAGGTCAGCCTTGCAGCAGAAACTGAGTTGAACTTCGCGTTGAGTCCATGAATAAAGCTGACAGCGGTGCGCTGTCCGCTAACAGCGCAGCATGGCTGCCTGCGGCGGCTTAATGAGGCGCTGTCAGGCGGTAGCTTGGAAAACAGCGACAAAACAGTGAACACAGCCCGAAAAGGCGTGAAATCTGAGGGGAGAACCACCGCCGGTCCGGTCCGTTGTACGGTCCACACTTCTCCTGGACAGACTGACTGTTGTGGAGTTCAGGGAGCGAAGACTTGTTGACTCTCCCACAGTTTCAGCGGCGGGCCAATCACAGCCCGCAGTCTGGCCAATCACAGTCCGTAAAACCATCCGACTGTACGTCAACGTCGCCGCCATATTGGGAGTGGCAGTTCCGTTGCAATGCATCAAAGTTATTGAAAAATGTAAAAGTTTTACATCCGTTAATGAACAAAGTTGGGTAGTAACTACTTACATTCACTCAATTACATTTACTTGAGTAGGTCTTTGTGGAAACAACACTTTAAAGCGTACTTTCAACAATGCTGCACTTTTTGTTTTTACTTGAGTAATGTTATGAAGTAACGTTACTTTTACTACAGTAAAATTTCTGGATACGCTACTCACTGGAAGTAACGTCATTGAATGAACAATCAAACATTCACCACACAATACACACTTGCAGTTTTTGTTACAGTTTCATAAGTTTTATAGTTATAAAACAATAAAATTAAGCAAGACAAATATTTTTTTCAAATCAGGTTCTTTCAAACTGAAATGAATTATTTTCATTAGGTCTTTAAGATATCACTTTAAAATATTAAATGACTGAAATGTTGATCAGTTGCTCAGCATCTGAGTAGTCTTTTAATTAAATGTTTATTTTAAAGTAATTTCTTGGATCATTATGTTTACTTATGTTAAATCTTTGATAAAATGCCCACCACTGTTACTAAATTCACACAAAACAAAATAGCTGAAACAAATACGGCTCAATTTTCATAACTAAAAGCTCAAGAAAATCCCTAAATGAACTTATCTCATCGCACGTAAATATAATTCATAAAAATTTACTGATCGTAAACAGTAGTATTTTTTTTTTAATTAGTAGTTTCCAATCTCTCTTTTGTTGATTTCTAAGGAGAGTTTGCCTCTAACAATATGGCGGACGCGCTGGCGTATCGCATCTATGGAACAACAAAACCAACGAGACGATTCTGTCCATCTCGCTGTTCATCTTTCAATGCTCTTCACATTAAAACCTTTAGGCTTACGGACGGCTTAAACATAACAGATTTTCATTCCAACACAAGACATGGAGAGCAGAAAATATTTACATTTGACACGCCTCAAAATACTAGAATGCGCTGCCCCCTGCTGGCAGATGAGCAGATTGACCGCCACAACAACCGATCCTTAATTTTCCATCTCCAAGAGTTTAATTTGGAGAAGTCTTTCAAATACTTAATTGATGCAAAAACATTCAGATTTATTCCAAATCTGTTTTATTTTTTCCTAAAATGTTCAAATGTTTTCAAAACTCCTGATATCAGTTTACAATTTATCCACATGTCTCACCTTCAGCGGGATCAAATGAGGAATTAAGACACGATCAAACAGAAAAGTTATTTATTTCAATATACATCCCATTTAAAACTATATAACATTATTTATCTGTTGAATATTTTACACAGCTCTTATGGAAACGAATTAAGAGTTTTACAAAATAAGACAAAGCTCTGAAATAATAATAAAAATAACAGAATATCCCACTTTTCACTACTGCATGATTCCTTTTTTTTCTTTACATCATAGTAATTACAGTTCCATGTTATATGCATTCTTTATGAAAGAAAAAATTAGTGTGTTTCTAGATGCAATGAAGGTCGCCGGGTGATTCTGAACATTTAAAGCCTGAGAAGCTGCTTCAGGTCAGAGCAGAACGAACAAATCAAAAACTTCTCCTTAGCGTTAATCGAAGGCTCAAATCAGCATCTTTACTCCGAGAAATATAATTTTTATTGTTACCAAAACAGAAATGTGTCCAAAATAACAGCAGTGTGTTTAAAATTTCCATAGAGGAAAATTCATTTCAATTACTGCTCTATTATGCATCAAAAATGAAGAAAAATGTATCAATGTTTAACAGAAATTGACAAAAATTTCATGTAGATAAGCCAAGGGTGTTCAAAGTGCGGCTCAGGGGCCATTTCCGGCCTGGAGCTACTTTTTTGTGGGACCCCAACTGCTGTTAGAGAAAGACACACATGTATTCTTTAAACTTTTTATTTTTAATCGTTTTTTAATTATTGGTGACTTAATTTTTTTTTTATGGAAAATGTTGAGTAAAACACAAATAATTTATATTTTTAGGACCAAATTTCTCTAATGTGTAGAACCACTTTTACTTTTACTGAAAAGTTGACTTTGATGAATTCAAATCAGAATTTACTTATTTTATTATAGAAAGAAAGTTACTCAAATCTTGCTTTTATAAACAATGATAATTTATTTAATCAAGCCCAAAAAAATCTGAAAACTGGACGCAGTTTGTTTAATAAAGCAAATGTGAAAAATTATTTTAAATGTTTGGATCTATAATAATAATATGTCTACTTTATTTTATTTTATACATTGGCATTTTCAATAAATGGTTTTGGTGCATGTAACAAACCCCTGGTATAAACTGAAAACTGCTCAAAGATTTCAATCAGTGAATAATTTCATTTTATTTTTTGTTCATATTTCTTCCTGAAATTAACTTTTATTAAAACTATTTCAACTGGCTGCTAACATTCAGAATAATCAGCTCTGTGTGTTACTGTTGGTTTATTTTGCTCTGCTACATTTCACAGTAAATTATTAGTATATTTTATACCAGAATTAGTTTTTATTTTGCTGTTATTTTGAACACAAGTGTTTCTGAAAGAAAAATGTCTGCAATCAAAATATCAGAGGTCTGTCTCATTGTGTGCAGAAGCGTCGCAATCAACAATATTGCACCAATAAAGCGATAAGGAAGAGAAGAAAGATGGGCAGCCCTGTATTCCTGCAAGGCTGCACCTGAGAGTTTGAGCTCCAAAAGGTCAAAGGTTGACCGCAGTGAAGGGATGCACTGCAAAAAAACAAAATCCTACTGAGTATTTCTGGTCTATTTACTACTGTAGATATCGGACTGCATGTCAGGGTCAACGTTCTACAAAAAATAAAAATGAAAAGAGGAGGTGCAGTATATTTCCATGACAAATTCAGAAAAGCCTGGCCATAATATTACAATTAATTTTGGAGATTAATTTTTGAAATTAATCTCCCAAATTTCTGACTTTTGAAAGCCAATTTCAACTTTTCAAACTCAGAAATTTCAGTTTTTCATAGAAAATGTTTCAAAATAAAATTTCAGTTTTTTTGTAGAAAATTTCTGAGATTAATTTCAGAATTTCATTTAATTTTCTAGAACATTTTCAACTTTTCAACTGAGAAATATGCAAGTTTTTTTTTAGAAAGATTACTGAAATTAATCTCAAAATTTCTGATTTTTCTATCTCAGAAATTTCAGTTTTTCATAGAAAGAAAAAAAATTTTTTTCTATGAAATTTTCTTAGATGAAAATTTGATCCTTTTCATTTAAGAAAATTACTAGGTTTTTTTTTCTAAAAGGTGTCTCAAATTAATCTAAAAAATTTTAAGTATCTTTATTTTTTACATTTTCAACTTTTCAACCGAGATTTGCAAGTTCTTTTTTCTAAAATAATTCTGAAATTAATCTCAAAATTTCTACTTGTTTCTTGGAAATGTACTCCTCAGTTTTTCTGTCCATTTTAAAGGCCGTGATCGCAAATATCTTAGTGCACGTAAAATAAGACATCAGTTTGTTTTTCTTACTCTTAATGAAAAAGTTCTAGCAGATTATTTAATCTGGCAGATTATTTAAATCATAGCAAAACATTTCCCCATGTTTTAAGTGAAACAATCTGCCACTGGATCTTTTAATTTTCATCAATATTTAGGAATTATTGACTTAAAACAAGCTCTTATATTTAGCTGAAAAGTTACTTTTAAGTTACTTTTGTCTCACTTCAAATATAGTAAAATGTTTGAATTAGAAATTAGTCCAAAATACTTGGTAAGACTTTATGTTTTTTTCTCAGTGCAGAAAAACTCGATGCAAAGTTTCGATCCAGACCTCGTCTCCCAAACACAGTTAGACATTCATCACGTTAGAAAAAACTAAACTCTCACAAAGCTCATATCAAAAGATACCTGTGTTTCAGTTTCAGCCTGCTGAGTTTGTTTAGTGGCTCCGTTGCTTGCAGACAGAATCATTATTTACATGGTGGTTTGACTTACATTCGTCTGATCCGACCCGAAAGGCTGGGCGATAAATCGATTTGATCGATACATTGGACTTTTGCCTTTGGAAGATATTTTATTTTGGAAATCTGGATTTTTTTTTACCGATGCGTTTCTGGGATTCTTTAGCTCAGACGTGAGCGCGGCCAGGGCGGCCATCTTGTCTGAAAAGCTTTTATTTATTTGGATTTTGAATTCAATTTAACTCTACAATGAAATATTAGGGCCAGGCTACAATTTCATTTAAAATTAAGGTCATAATGTTACCAGAATAAAGATGTAACTTTAGGAGGATGAAGTTGTAATTTAATGAAAACTCTGACAGAAAAAGGATCAGAAATTTAAATGTTGAGCATCTTGTGAAATTATACTTTAGTATCGGTTTTAAATATGAAAATAAATTTTTTTAACATGTCAGTATTAAATATTGTCAATAGGAGGACTTTGAAATGAATGTTTCTATTTAGAACAACAAACTGATCTGCTCATGTCAGATCCTCATAAATAAAATATGTTCTCATTAAAATCTATTTTCCTGTAATTTTAAGATGTTCTTTTGGTGAAATTATTCTGCCAACATTATATTATTCTCATAATTAAAGAACATTTTGCAGCCTGGCTCTGGTACTCTGTCATACAGCCTATCAGATTGAAATAAAAATATTAGTTTATTTTTTAGAAAAGAAAAAAATTGGAAACCAGATCTGAGGTAAAACTTTTCAGCCGTATCGCCCAGCTTTACTGATCTGAGTTCTGTTGGAGCGCCAGCACCGGGACAAAGATGGGAAGCTCACAGAAGTAAACAGGAAGCTTCATTATTCACACCTGCAGAAGGGAAAAGTGTTGTGATTCTGTGAAGCAGACTGCAGAGCGACTGGACGTTCAGTTCTGCTGACGCCTCAGCGTTCCTACAATCAGACCCGAGGTTCTGGGCTGAGGTCCAGCTACTGAGGTCAGTAACTACAATCATGACCTTTAAGGTTTCTCTGGAGCACTGTGGAGTGAATCTGTCCGTTGCATATTATGCTCTTGGAGCAGACGGTGTGCTTTCTGGTTCTGACCTGGGATCAGACGGCGGGCTTGTCGCTGTAGAAAGGCGTGACATGAAACATGTAGCAGTGGGTGCAGACCCGGACGGGCTTCACCTGGCCGTACCGCGGCAGCGGAGCCGAGTGGGACGAGCAGCGGGAGCAGAAGATCTGAGGAGAGAGAGAGAGCAAAATGTTAAGCCGGTGTTTTTCACAGTGGTGGCCACAGGAGGGCGCCAGAAAGCCAGAGGGAAGGTGAGAAAAAAAATTAATGTAATGCATATTTTAACATGTTTTTTATTACCAGAAAGTCAATCTATATCTGAATCATTACATAAGAACAAAAACAAAAAAAATCTATCTGTTTTTAATCTGATTTTAGTATCTGGAAAATTAGCCGTTTCAGAAACCTCCAGAATTTGTTACCTAGCAACCCAAGCTGAGCTCCAGAATGTTTGGTCAGCTGGTTTCACCACCAGACAATACTGTACAGTGAAATACAAATCATTACAAGATAGTAAAATTAGGCAAAAGAAACATTTTTCAAAATCAGGTTTTTTCAACGTAAAGCTATTTTCCAATGGCTGCTGGAAAAGCGTTTTGTTGTCGACTTGTCATCCAGAAAACACCTGCTCCATTCTTCTTGGTTGTGCAGGAGGCTCCGCTTGTGATTTTCAAAGATGTATGGTTGGGTAATTGCTCATTTGATTGCAGCCATTTTCATGTGTCAGTTGAGTTGGGGGCGTGGCCTGAAGAAGCTTAAGTGACAGACCTCCAAAAGCAGCTAATTCTGAAAATAGGACTCTCATTATGTAAGAATAGTTTTGTACAAAACAAGTAATAAATATGTTTGTATATACCATAGACCTATACTAACCTTTTCAAGGAATTTTCGCTTATATTTTAAAAATATAAGTGAAAATAACTTTTTTGTGCAACCCCCCCCTACAAAAATCAGAATGCACAAGGCAGCATTTATGCTAAATAAATGTAATAGTTATTGAATAGTGAATAAAAGTGAGAAAAAAAACATTTTAAGAGTCAAAATTTCTTCAAATATTTTGGGTTTGGAAAGGGACACCCTGGTATTTGGTTCACTGCTCGGGAACACTAAGCTACACGTTAGCTTGGGAGCTAACAGGAAGTCCTAACCTTCCCACAGCTCCTACAGTGATGCTTCCTGCGAATGACGGTGAAGGGAGCCTTGCAGGCGATGCAGGAGTTGCAGGCGTCGTCGGGGACCCAGTCTGGAGGATCTGCAGGGAAAAGGAAGAGAAAACGTGCAGCAGAAATGCCACCAGCTGAGAGGAAGACGAAGAGGAGCGCGCTGACGGTGACGCTTATAGTTTGTGGATCCGCTGACCTTCGAACTGTCCCTCCCGGGCTTTGGCTGCCAGTTCAGATGAAGAAATAGTTTCCTGACAGAGAGCACAATCCTCCAGCACCGCACTGCGCAGAACGGGGCCTACTGGGCATCACAGGGGACACATTTTAAACGGTTGCACTTAGTTCATGATTGAGAAGGCCTACACTGCAAAAACACAAAATCTCACTCAGTATTTTCGGTCCAGTTTCAGTGCAAATAGTACTAAATAAGTTACAAGTATCTTTTCAGCAAGATATATGAGCTTGTTTGAAGTTAACTATTCCTTAATAAAAAAATAAGTTCTAGTTCTAGATTATTTCACTAATAACAAGACCAAATGCCAAAATTTTGCTAAAAATTTACTTGTAAGTCAGTTTTGTTTTTAAAGTGTATGAAGATATTTGCACAAGAAGCTAGACCAATGTACTCCTTTGGGCAAAAGGATAAAAAACAATTAATCCAAAATTAACCAAAACAATCTCTAAAAGTTGTTCTCACAAAGTTTTCTGGCATTTAGCAAATAGAAATAATTTTTGTAATTCTAACCAACCTAAAACAAGAAATGTTTGGTCTGATTTAACTTCAGACAGCGAGAAAAAATATCTATTGTTATTAGGTGTATGAAAATATCTGGTTTCAACTGCAAATAACATTTTCCAAATTTAGATTTAATCAGAGGTTAGGTGGAACTCTAGTACAAAATTGTGCCATTTAAATATCAAGCACTTTTCCAAAGTTTCCTTTTCCCCATCTTTAGTATACAAACACATTTTCCTCCATACCATTGAATGTAAAATATTAAATCCATTCCTCACCTTTTTTTTGCTTATCGTTGTCTCCTTGCTCGCACTTCGTCGCCATTACTTCAAAGAGAGTCTTCAGGATGCTTCGCAGGTCGCTGGCGTAGTTGGTCTGCAGCTGATCGGCGACGCCTGCATCACACAGAAACATTGATGCGTTATGTACGAGCCGGAGGCGCGTGCCGCTGCAGCTCAGAGAGGGAGGAACTTCACCTGATATGCAAACGAAGAGACGGTGGATGAGGTCGCTGCTGCTGTGGAACCGGGAGCGGATCTTGCTCCTCGCTGCCACCCTGGCGTCCTGCAGGGCCAGCCTGATCTCCTGCTGGTCCAGGTCCTCCGAAGTCCCTGAGCTCGGAGTCAGGCTGCTGACGGGGCTGAACAAGAAATACAAAATTAACTTTTTTAATCTGGAGAATGATCCGATTCTGCATAAACGCTGCTGTTATTGCATCCAAATCCCCAACGATACTGAACTCTGACATTTAAAGCTTCAATAGGCGACTGAAACTGATTTGGGCTGAAACAATTAATCAATAAATTATGATTAATCAGATTAATGGTGATTAATCAAGTATTGAAATAATCTTCAACTAATTTAGTAATTGGTTAATCACTAACTGGAGTATTCACAGTTAAAAAAAAAGCAATTTGCTAACAGAAAAAAACATTCAGGGAAGTAATTAAAACAAAGAAATGTAAAAATATTAATATTTAATAAACATTTAAAATAAAAATCAAAAACTTTGTCTGTAAATATGTTCTACCCACAACTCCTTCAGTGGCAAAGTTCAAACGTCACTCAGTTCAAATTCTGTAAATAAATTTTAAAAATCCTATTTAAGGAGTAACTTTTGTTAATAATTTATGAATCAGTTAAAACAACAATGACTCAATCAATCTACAAATAATTGAGCACTAAAGGAATGCTGTGTTGTTCCATTTTGGTAATAACACGTTTATTTTCTTATTTAAATTGAATTGTTCATGTGCATATAAAAATCTGCAGATTGTGGCGATTTATTATCCAACTAATTGTCAGCATAATCGCTAACTAAAGTAATCGATAGAAGCATTGAATCTGAGCAGTAGGTACATTGATTTGGCGGGCACAGGAAGTCATTACCTTGGAGTGTAAGCACTGCTCGACAGACTACATGTGGTGACCGACACACTGTCGCAATCACTACCTGACACAGAGCTGAGGGGCGACTTCTGAAAACTAAAAACAACCAAAAAACAAACAGAAATAAAGAAGGATACGACTGCACTGCAAAAACACAAAATCTGATCAAGTTTTTTTTGGTCTACATTCTAGTGCAAAAATCTTCATTTACTTGAAAAAATTAACTTGCAAGTAACTTTTCAGCAAGACATAGAAGCTTGTTTAAAGTCAACAATTCCTTCATATTAATTTGTAAAAATGTTCTTCTACTAGCAGATTATTTGACAAATAACAAGTAGGGCTGGACAAAAAAGTAATAACAACTAACTAGCTCACTGTTTGGTTACCTAGCAACAACCTGTTAAGTAACGTACGCAGCAGCAGTTTCAGGTTTCCCCTCTGTGCCTCATAACTGCTTAAAAACAAAATGGAACAGCTTGAAGTGAAAACTGTGGATAAAACTGGAAAGCTTAGCCATATTTTTGATATTTGAAACAAAAAGATAAGATTGATATAGACTGATGTGAAACACTTATGTTAAGTTTTTCAGCCACATCGTTCAGGTCTACTGATATCACTCTGGATCTACAGCAGCCTGGACAACCGATGTCCAGTAGTATCCGATGTATATCCGATGTATATCCGATCTATATCCGATCTATATCCGATGCGTTTCTCGGGCATCGGAACGCATCGGTGAAGTGCAACAAAAACACAGATTTTCAAAAAATTACATTTTCATAGCCAAAAGTTTGATAAATTGTTGAAGCTAAACAAAAAACACTTGGTCAAATTTTGTGTTGTGTAGTGAGAGAAGTTGAATGATCCTACTGAAACAAACCTGGAGCATCTCCTAATGTCCTCCCTGGGCTCCTTATTGTCTATCCTGTCGTTGTCCGGGTTGTTCTCTCGCTGGCGGGCTTCGCCGGCTTGCTGCCTCCTGAACGGCTGACTGAACGTTGACGCTCCCTGGCCTCCTCTGGAGCCCCGTCCTGGAGCCACCAGGCACTTGTCACAGAGCAGCGAATCTGAGCCCTCCGCCGGCGGATCCCCAGGGCGGCGGGCGGTCGTGGGAGTGTGCTGGGCGAGCTCGCCCTTAGCGAACCGCTGGTGGGCGCGCGGCGGCAGCTGGCAGGCGGCGGACTGGATGACGGCGCTGGACGCCGGCCTCTTGCAGTGTTTGTCCAGACCCAAAGCCAGGCCCAGCTCCAAGCCGGCGGTATCTGAGGCGACGCCGCCGTCTTCGTGAGCGTCCTCGCAGCTCCCGCAGCACACGCAGGAGTTCAGCAGACAGTGGGTGGCCACTAGGGGGCCGCAGGGCTCGATCTCGGATGCAGCCGGTCGGGTCAGCAGCAGCTTGTCCACGGCCAGCTCCGTCAGGCTGGGTGAGCGCGGGTTGAAGATGACGGTGGCCGACAGCTTCATCCCGCCCATGCGGTGGGCGATGACCTCCGCCGTTTCTGACGCAGTGCCCTCTGACCCCCTGTCCCAGCCGTTGCTGTAAGGCAGCGGCTCATTGCCGGGGGCGTGGGAGCAGAGGGGGCGCTTTGCCGCGGGACAGGGCTGCTCCGACGTTGTCGCAGAGCTCCATCCGTTGATACCAGAACCGGGTCCGGGTTTCTGCTGCAGCGGAGGCGTCGATCCTTTAGGCAGGGCTGGACAATAAATCAATGATCGATGTTATACAACTGATAGAATATTCACTGAACTCTGAGCTAGAACCGCACAGCATTCTGGGGGATGTAGGCAGAGGAAAGACTTAACTCGACCTCTTCGGTTTAGCTAAGCAAAGTTAGTGGAATCGACTCAACCAGTCTTGGTTAACTAGCAACAACCTGCTGGGGAACTGCCGCAGCAGCAGTTTTAGGTTTTGCCGAATTACGGCTTAAAAATAAAAAATAAAGGCGGGAGTGAAAACTCGATAAGTCCACCACCAATCTGGTTGAATTCCAGATAATTAAAACCAAAAAATATAAATTAATTATTCATTGATATTAATTTTTTTTGTCATTTCAGGATTTTCTTCTGGTAAAATTAAGGCAGTATTTTTGTGATTAACACAAATTCTAAAACTCAGTCGTTCAACTCACAGAAGGTCTGAAAATATTTTCTAGAGAAAATAATTGACTGGAATTGATTCTGGTGGATCTAATTTTCCAGCCGTACCTTCAGGAGACACGATGCAGCTGCCGTCTCCTGCTGCGTCGACATCCTCCATGAAGAAAACCCGATCCTCCTCCTCCACGTAGATGCCGGTTCTGATTCGGTTCGCCGCCAACCTGCGTGGCGACGCCTGCGTGCTGGAGGCCCCGCTGGAGCCCGGGGGCTCCCCCCTGCTGGGCCGGCGGGCCGGGGACTGGCCCTGGCTGGGCGGGGACAGCAGCGTGGACATTTCGTCCCCCACCCTGTACACCATCATGTTGAGCTGCTCCAGCTCCTCCTCGTCGTACTGCATGGAGCAGGCCAGCTCCGCCTCCTCCGCCTCCTCGCACAGCAGGCCCTGCTCCGGCTCCTCCTCGCCGCTTTGGGTTTCCACCTCCTCCCAGCCGCTCTCCACCTCCGCCATCTCCTCATCCTGGTCAGGGGAGACGAACACGGGGAGCGGGTCCTCTTCCCCGCCGCCCTGCCCGTTGGGGGCGTCGTTGGTGAGGCTGCGGGAAGTCGGGTTCTCCTGGACCAGAACCGGGATGCCGTTTGAGGCCAACTCCCCGTCCTGGGAGATGCACAGGTTCTTTTCCAGAGTCAGCAGCTCCTCCTCAGTCAGAGTCTTCAGGAGATCTCTGCAGGAGGAACCACAACAAACTTAGGCAGCGTTCTCACTGCAGCCTGAAGTGACCCAAATACGATTATTGTGTCTGAACAACAATCGTTAATGATTCTGATGTTTTCATGACAATCTGAACAAAACAGATCGGATTTTTTCGAATGCCACCCAGATCATTTGGATGCTTATTACCGATCTTTACAAATCCTGATCTGCCAATTCTGATTGGGGCAGATACCAATTCTTTTGTTTGAAACGTTGCCAAATAAAGGAAGAAAGTCGCTGAGTTGGCAAAAAGTGGGGTGACTTTTGCTAACTTCAAACATGCAGACTTGAGCTGATGGGCCAGTCTGTCCACCAAACCTCTCTACTGGGAGAGCAGAAGAGGACAGCGGGTGATTTTTAGACAAGGTAGAAATAATCAGCTTCACGTGTTGGTCGATCTCAGATCTCCCAAAATTAAGGAAATGGCACAAATAAATCTGTGCACTCCCAATGCTTATGCTAGCCAGCACAGCCGCTAAAGAGTTAGATTTTTTCACAAATTATCTACCTCTCATCATCCTGTCACCACATGGAGACAGTTTGATTAAATATGAGGAAAACATATTTTGTCAAAGCCATGTACTGCAGCTTTAAATGTTCGAAGTATTTGACAAACAACTTCTGTCATTGTATCTATTCCTCCTGCTCGCCACATTTACCACAGAAATCTTTCAGCTGGCACCTACTTTTCAAACACACACGCAAAACCACGTCTATAAATCTGGCTACGGTTTAGTAAATCACATGGCAGTTTTATCTTCCTCCCTGTACTTTGTACTTTCTAATGATCGACATATGTTTTGCATATCCACGCAAACATATTGATAATGACTACAAATAATCCTTATTCTGCTATACAATCCTGATGTTTGTAGAACATGGTCTGCGCCTACCAACGCTGCAAAAACACAAAATCCTTATCAAGTATTTTTGTCCAGTTATCTTAATTCACTTGAAATCAGAAAGATAAACTTACAAGTAACTTTTCAGCAAGAAATAGGAGCTTGTTTAGGTTAATAATTTCTTAATATTGGTGAAAAAGAATCAGTTCAATTGCAGATTATTTCACTTATAACATGGGAAAAATGTCTTGTTATAAGTGAAACAATCAGCCAGTAAAACAAGTTATTTTTCTTCAATATTAAGTGACTATTTACTGAAAACAAGGTTATATTTCTTGCGGAAAGTTATTTTTCTCTTGTTTCAAGTGTACTCAGATTTCATGGATTTACCTGATTTTCTTCAATAAAGTGCGAAAAGGCCTGAAGAGCTCTGACATGTCCTCAGATTTCCGGTCGAGGTTAAGTGGTCCCTCAGGATAAACGACCAGCCCACTGAAAGCAAGAGCAACGTTCTGTGAGACGAAGGTGGAACGGAGAGGAAAACATCGACGGGAAAACGGGAACGCTTACCAAACAATGGCCAGTCTGGGAATGGTAAACATCAGAGCAGGTTCGTAGTCATCGATCATGTCCTGGGTGAGGTAGCCCAGCCGGAGCGCCCTGAGGGGGACGGAAACACAATCAGATTCTGACCTAATCGAGAGATTATTGGAGGATGCTTTTTTTTTCTGCTGCAAACTCACCGTTCAACAGTTTCGCAGAAGAGGACAATCACCTCCTGCTGCACGTCATATTCTTTGGGACTTTTCACAGGCACCATGGCTGACACGTAGCTGAAACAGAAGAAGAAGCGTTAGGCTAAAAATGTTCAAAACTTTCTTTAGTTCTGATGGAAACATTTAAAGTAGTAAAGGGTGATACACAGTTGCTGTTTTGTCAATATTCCACTAATGTGGAAAAAAGTACAATTTGATTAATTATGGTATTTCCATTAAATAAGAAACACAATTAAAAATCACACGTGAATAAGTTTGTTTATGCAAACTTATTCATGTTTGCATGAACCAATGATTAAAAATCAAGCAGCTCCATCATATTCCTACCACTTCCTGTGTTCTTCTTCATCGTTTTTGCCAGTAGTAGTGTGACGGAAAATACAGTTTACCCACTGCAGTTGTAATGGGTAAACTTGGAACTGCAATGGGTAAACCACAGTTACCGATGGTTTTCCAGCCATAATTTCAATATGGCTGAAAAACCACCTTAAGCATTTTAATGAAAAACAAGGTTTTTTTCGCAATTACCGTGTTTCCTTTAAGCAAATTTATTTCTAAATTTCAAATTTGCACAATTACATTTGCTCGGTTACCAAAGAATGAGTGAGTCAGTTGATTCCACCAACCTAGTTTAGCTAGCTGAGAAGCTAAAGGGTTTCCTCTGCCTACATTTTCCAGAATGCTGTGGGATTCTGGATCGCAGTTCAATGAAATCATTGAATATTCTACCAGATGTTTTATTTACTGATATTGACCATGTGTCCACTGCGATATATAATTGATTTATTGTCCAACCCCTAATACAAACCGCACTCCTTTATGTGACTGACTGGAGTCCGAAAGAAACACATGACAAATTGGAATGTTTTTCAAGAGCAGTGTTTGTATTTGTGGGGCTGTGATTTATGTGTCAGTCATATAGTTACTTAAAAAACAGAATATATTCACTTTAATCGTTATCATAGTAGTTCTGTGATAAAACTAGGTAAATATCGCCCATCGCTGACGGATTAAATCAGTAAATAGTCATAATGTTACGTCTAATTTAGGTCCAATAATGCAATATTTATGATCACTTGTTCACCTGAGCTCAAACTCAGCGAAAAGGCTGTCGAAATGTCGTAAAGCGTCCTTCATGCGGTCTGTGTAGAAGTTGAGGTCTCGCAGGGCCTGGTCTCTGGTGATGCTGCGCACCTCCTCCAGGCTGCGCGTCAGGTCTTTCGCCAGGGGTCTCATGGCGATGCTCTCTATCTCCCTGTTCATGATGATGGAGCCTGCAGCCAGACACTGGACAGGAACCAGTTTACAGTCATGATGAATTTCAGCTCCACCACTGGATTTCTGCAGGTCGTTTTCATCCCGACTGAAGCAAGAGGGAATTGCCTACCTCCGCTCCGAACCACAGCTGTCCCGCCAAGTTGTCATGGCGAATCTCCTCGGGGAACTTGACGCAGAAGTCTCTGTTGGCGCGGTCGTTGGGGATACATTCATCCATGATCTGGCTGATGATGTTCAACACGTTGTCCTGCAGAAAAACAAGGAAACACATTTTGAAGAGTGTTTTGTGATTGAAACTAGGTCTATTAGATATTAAAGAATATATTCTTAAATTATGTCTATAAGTAAGACATTATAAAATAAATACCTTCACTAATTACGTGAAATTAATTTGACTGAAGGTAAATAAATATTTATCTCCAATTTATCCAGAACCTGGTTGTTTTTTTTAAATGAGTGATGATAATTTGATGCATTTTGTAGCTTAATCTAGCTTCATACGGTCCTTTGTTGATTGTGATTATAATTCAGCTGTTTATTTTGGAAACACATCTCATTGAAAAGTTACAAAAAGAGTTTTTTATGAATCAGCGTTCTCCATTTGCTCTGTAGTTGAAACCAGAAAAATACAGAATAAAAAGCTCCTTTCTGAACTTAATACTTGTAATATTTCACCAACTGCAGCTTGGCTAGAATGCATGAACTGCTGATTTAATCTGGCTGCTCACTAATCAAATAAAACATTAAACTGACTGACGCTGCACAAGGCGACAGCTCAGCAGAGTGAAGGAAACCGAACAGTCGGGGATCAGGTGATGACCTTATTAAGCGTTTTCCCCGTGAGCCCTGCTGCTGCTGCTGGTAGAAGGCACAACAAGCCTCGAGGAAAACCTCCCTCACAGCACAAGCAGGTCAAGAGTTTACCATGATTCAAATCTGAAAACTCCTCCAAATGATGCTGAAATTCGGTTCGGATCTCTTTGTCTAAACATTGTATAAAATCTGTGTCTATGAAATCATTAGCTATAAAAAGCTTTCTTCTTCTGCAGCCACTGACGCAGAGTCCGAGATGAGAGACGGCCGACGCTCGCAGACGGATCCAACTCATCTCATCAGTGGAAGTGCTTCATACAGGAATTCAGCCAATCGGCTTTCAGTAAATCACTCATATCACCCAGCCTGCATCCCGGGATGAATAAGAAGCGCACCGACTGTTCTCATCGCTGGAACCAAGCTCTCAGCAGGTGATTATGTGAATGGAAAAAATATGGCTCCGAATGAAACAAGCTGGGGGTCAATTTATCTCCACGCCAGCTTTGCTCCACTTAAAGCCTATTTTTATGCCTCGTGCTGGAAGCCAGAGGAAGATTGGACTCCATTGGTGGTTTGCACTGACCTGGCAGGACCGGAACTGGTTGACCAGCAGCGTGCATCTCTGAGGGTCCTTCCTGCCATCCAGGCTGTCCAGCTCAGTGGCCACCTGGTTGAGCTCTTCGTCAGCGTAGTAGAACTGGGCCAGGAGCTGCGGGTCCGTCCTCTGTTCAGAGGGAAACACGAGCAGAACAATCGTTTGCAACACAACACTAAATTCTGGTTTCAAACTCATAAATCAGATAAATCTTTTCCTGTTTAAAGGTGACCTATTATGCTTTTGCTTCTTTTAACAGGTTAGAATTGCTCTATAGACTCGACAAAACCTGTTCATCACATTTTTTGCACAAAATAAGTTTTAGATGGCGAGATTTCAGTCTGCTCAGTTCTGCCTATTTTGAGCTTGTCCTAGAATATCTGTTTTAGGGCCTCTTGTCACGATAAATCCAAATAATTTGCTGATGGCCGCACCACCAAGTCAACGTTTACACTCGCACAACTTTGAAAAGCAGAAGCAGAGCCTCCTGCACAACCAACAAGAATCCAGGAAGTGATTTCTGGGTGGTAAGTCAACAACAAAACACTATTTTCTTTTCTAGCAGCCATTGTACAGCGCATAAAATACCAGCTGAGCAAATGTGCCGGAGCTCTGCTGAGGTTGCTAGGTAACGGGACTGTGCTCGGCTGTAGTTGCTAGGTAACGAAATGTGACTTAACATTTGGAAGGTTTTTGAAACCCCTTGTTTTCAAGACACCAAAAAAACAGCTTAGAGGGTTTTTTTAAGCATTTGGGCTGATTTTAGAAGCAGTTGAGTCCCAAATGGAAGCATAAAAACTTTCAAAATGTAAATTTTGCATAACAGGTGTCATCTAATGAATTTAAGAATTGCAGAGGATGCACCGACACACAGAAAACATCGGACTGCTGGGCCACGTTACCACATTCACGCCCAAACAGTGAGATTCCAGTTGGATGTACCTCCATTAACTGGTTAGAATGAGATGGTACTGTGGAGAAGCAGCTAAACAATGGTAACATAGTGTAGATCAGCATTACTTTCACCGTTTTAATGTGGCATCTATATATGTTAACAACTCTGAAAACAATGAAAACTTCAACACCAGATACATGGAGAAAATGGATTTCTTAACTTCTGTTTTGTAAAAAAAACAAATAAATAAAAAGAACAGGTAAAGAAAAGTTGGACAAACAGTCAGCCTTTAAACATGCAGGTACTGCAGTTTAAAATAAAGAGTGGCTGATCTGTGGAGACCTACATATAATCAGGTAAGTGGGCCACTGCATAGGGCATAACAACGGGCTGCTGGGGAACATCTGAAGATTTATGAGCAAGAAATCCTTTTCCAACAAGTATGCAAGAGGATTTAGGAGGAAATATTACATCAATCCTAACAAGAGGAGTTAATTAGAGTTAATACACTATGAACACCTCCCAGAAGAGTATGGATGTCTGGTCCGAAGAGAGGACTTATCTCCGTCACGTCGCACCTCAGCTGAATGAACGATGTTCGTGTGAAACTTAAGGAGCTTTTCGAGTGTTTATTTTTCAGAATTGAAACACATAAAGTACATTTTGCATACCAAACTGGATTCTGTCACGACTGCTACTTTTCTGTGGCGGTTTGGCGCCGGCATCTCTAATTCTGTATCAACGGTTTGACTCCGTTTAAGAACGATGGGCGGGGCCCTCTACTGGATAGTGGCCAAAATGCAACATTAAAAGAAGATCTTAATGTTGTGAAAGACAACATCAAAATACCTTTTAATGTCAACATTATAACACCAATTTAATTTAGATTGAATTTATTTCAACTGGAACTAATTTCAATCTAATAAACCATTAATCGATCCAACCAGCTCTACTAAAAACTGAAAATACCTCAAGGCGACCTTGAAAGAGTCTGATGTCGCTTAAAATGGGACAAAGACGCCAAAAGGTGAACCACAGAGTCATAGCAATGACCTGGGACCTTTAAAGGACAGCCTGACTGTGCTGCACGCTGAACACTGGAGAGCTGCACCAGTAAACTGGCTCATCTCACTCACAATCATTACTCTTTTGGGCGGTTTTCCTCGAGCATGCTGGTGTTTTCCTGAAACCTCTCGAGTCTTTTTCCCTGAAGTTTGCAGTGTTTCCTGTAGCGTGACACCCCTACACTGACGCTTGCTTTTCTCAGTGAATATGATATACGCTGCACTTCCCACCCTTCCTCTCATCAATAATGAAACAAACAGAAAGGAGAAAACATGGAGATTCGACCAACAGCTGCCACATTGTGAGGAGGAAACAATGATGATCACGCAACCTTCAAAAAGGTTGTTACTTAAAGATGACATACCGAATCTTGTATTTTTTTCCCCTATTTAATTGTTTGCACACTGAATTGAAAAATAATTAGCACGTCTAAAGGCGACTCACACAGGCAGATCAGAGATGTTACAGAACCCAATTTCTTTTCCTGTTCAAAGACCCTCAGTGGGTTTCATTCCAGGCACGGCTTGCCGTAAAAAAAAAAAAAGAAGCTCAGCTTATTTCCCAGCTCAGCACTCAAACTGGCATCGTTTTACCAGCAAACCTCAATCACACAGAGCAAATCATTAAAACAGCATTACGTTCTGTTCATGGGTGAATGTTGGGAGCCGTGGTTAGAAAGACACAATGGAAGCAGAGAAGGTGTGTGAGAGTGAATCAGTCGCTGCTTTTCCATTGACCAGATAATTGTGAAGTTTGTCCTAGAAATCAGTTTTTTTGAGGGACCAAAATTGCAACATTGGTTATATTTTTATCTGGTGCTGATACTAAGGAAATCAGTGCACTGACAAGTGAACCAAACCGTTTGAGGAACCTGTTCCCCTTCTCGCCTGTGGAGGCGCTGCACCAACAACGACTGAAAGAAACAACAAGAAAATCTCTAAAAAGACATGACAATAACTTCATTTTTCACAAAATATCAGCAAAAATGGTATGGTGTCAGATTTTAGAGGTTGGAGGACGGTAAAAGACCATGAGCCATTTCTCCTGCAAACGCTAGACTGTGAAGTTTGTTTGTTTTTACCCAGAATGCCCTGGGCTATATCAATACTGCTTTTGAAGCAGTCTGAGGTCCTCTTGCATCCACATATGTATTCAAACAGTGCCAAAGTTCACTTTGATCGAACCGAGACAGAGTTTTGTAGGCGGACCAGATTTTGCTTTTTTGGTTCAATTAGGCATTCACACTTCCCCAAACAAACCAGATCTTCTAGGTAAGTAAACCATTATTAGATTCAAGTGGACGAAACAAGACTGGTGTGAATGAACCAGTTGGCTGCGTCCACCACTGGTGGAAACCATCTTGAACATTTACAATAAATCCCTTGTGTTTTTGTGATTGAATGAGTGGAAATGGCTAATTGGAGAAACCAAACTAACCACATCATGCAACCACATTTTTACATCTAAACCCAAACCATTAAACTCAGTGACTCATTTAAGAAGAGGCTGATTTGACAGGACATCTCTACAACAATGTAGTGAGTGTGTGGTACAGAATAATTGCCATGATGACTAAACAGGAAAGAGGAGTGGGAGACAGTGAAGAACCTTCCTTCCAGCCCAGAAACAGCCCACAGACTGATGGCATGTTGGAAGCATAAAGGCGGACACTGAACGAGGAAGAGGAGTTAGAGACAGTCGTTATCCTGTCGTCTCCTCCTGCCGTACTCTTCGCGCAAGAGGAAACATTCCTGCAGCATTGAATCATGGTGGGGGAGTCAAAGACGGGCAATGTTCTTGGAGAAAGATCTGCTGTAAAGCTGCATGTTTAATCTACGTTGGATGTTTGTCCGCCGTGGATTTGAAAGGAAATATGTTTTTCACCCCCACATCTACGGCCCATGTGATCGACCTGCAGCCTGTTGCACCAGCTGTTCAAACTTGGCCTAGTTTAAGCCGGAGCGAAGAAGAAACAGACAAACGCTGAGGTGGAGCTCCCTCATCGCGACAGGAGCATCTGCACCAAATAAATGATAAAACGGCCTTTTAAATCCACGGCCAGTCTCGACATCAAGCCGATAATAAAAAAACGACTTGTCTAAAAGTAGAGCATTATAAAGAAAGTTGTCTTAGTCTAAACTGTGTGGGCTCCATAAACAGCTTTATTTGCAGGCAATTTTGATTAGTTTGGCAGAGAGAGCAGCAAATATAAAACAGAAACCGCTTAGTATGTGAGCTGGATTTCCAGGCCTCTGAAAGTGACTTATTATGCTTTCTTGAAGCATACTAAGGAAATCCAACCTCTCCTAACCTGTTCAAGCTATGCAAAACATGTTCATTACTTTTTTTTTTCTCCACAAGATGATTTTTAGATAGCAAAAATGTAGTGTACTGATTTTGAGTTCCTTTCAGGATGAGCTGTTTTAAGGCGTCTTGTCACTTTAAATCCAAATAAGCTCTTGCTGGCCACACCCCCAGCTCAACATTTACATTCGCATGTGAAAATTACTGCAACAAAAGTACAATTATACAACCGCCCCGCCTTCTCCTCCTCAGAGCTGCAGTTTCCAAGCTTCCAAACTTCCACCTCTCTCATTGGCTCCTTCAGACTAGCCAGCAGCATTTAGCAAACATTTGGTGCTGAGCTCAATATAGGAGCAACTTCTCAGTGCAACACAAGTACAAAAGTTGCTAAATAAATAAAATTTATTTTCAGTCATATTTGATATATTCAGCATTCTTACAACTGAAGTCAACATGGTTACTAGATTGTGGTGTAAAATGGCACATTTTGACTGGAAAAAACATTTTACTGACCTATAAACGGCTGGGTGTTTTTTTAAAGAACTTCAGCTATTTTTAAAAATAGCAGAGACCAAAATGGAAGTATAAAAATGTGCACACAATACAAATTTTGCATAAGATTCCCTTTAAAAGTAGTAATAGCATAGTCCCGACTCAGATGTTCAGTTTCATGGTCACATTATTCCATGGAAGCTCTCCAAGTTTAATAACAATTTGAAGGTAAAGCTGCTGACATTTTACAAATAGTTTCTGGAAGAGATGCGCAAAAATACATGGTTGTGACTTCCAAAAGATTCCCTCTGATGATCGTATAAAAGTTTCCTAAATCCTGGGTGCGTCATCATCCCCACCAATGATAGCTTCA